GGAGCCGGGGGACTCGGGGTCCTGGGGGCTGCGGGCTCTCCACCTGCCCTCCGCGGGAGAGGCGTGCGCTGCGTTTATTGATCGGGTTGTTTTGGAGCCTCTCACGTGCTCTGTTTGGACGAGCGGGGCGTGCAGCCGCCTGGCTCTCGCGCCGGCCCCCGCCTCGTGGGAGACCGGGATTCCATCTTTCGTGATGGCATCCTTAAGGGATCGAGGTGCGTGTGTGCGCGCTCGGGTGCCTGCATGCACGGTGGGGATGGAAGGTCTATGTGGGCGATGCTGAGGCATATGTAGCTTTGACTCAAATATGCCAACGGGGCCCTAGGATGAGGCACCGTCACTGCTGAGACTGGCGAACGTCCGCCAGTCCACCAAGGCCTCTTCTCCCCCAGGTTCTTGCGTTCTTTGGAGGCTTCCTAATAGGATGTACCTTGCCTCCGCTGATTATTTTTCTGTTTCTCTCCCAGCCCTGGCTGCGTTCTGCTGACCTCCAAAGAATGCTCACCGTCTTTCCCTCGTATCCAGAATTCCCAATTAGAGACTTTCCTAGTTTGCGGAGGTGCCAGGAACCTGTTCCTTTATACTGTGGTCTTGCCTCCGCAGCTTTCTCCAAACAATAAGTGGTTAGCTTGGAAACAGCCTGTGAAGAGTAGGCCCCAGTCCAATCATGAAAACTATTATATGATCATTCATTCCCCTTCTGTAAACTGGGTCCACCGGGAAGCTTTGATTTTCTTTATTGTCCCTATACCCCCTTCCAAACCGGGACATTAACTACCATAAGTCCTTCGTTTATGCCACCTTAAGCGTCACATTGAATGGCTTTTATGATCTGAGGAATATTTTATTTACATCAGCCATCAAGTTGGTTTCTTTTAATCGCATGCAGTAGGTTAATGGATCTGAGTCACATCGCTTTGGTCTCTCTGTAACCCACCATTCATGCTTTCACCGAAGGCTTGATTGTAGTTCTTTTAGATTTATACTTTATGCTAATTTTCATTTGCCAATGTAGTAACACTTGATGTAATTGTCATGCATTCTGTTTGGAAGTTGACATTATCATTTTGATTGTTGACTATTACAAGAAATAATTTTGGTTAAATAATAGCTATTCTTTAAACCTCATAAAGATAAAATGCGATAATGGGTATAAGTCTGCTAGTATACTTGGTGAGCATTTAATTCGGGAGATTTTATCAGCTCTGGAAACAGGTCTCTTGTACTTCTGTGCTTTGAGAAGGGCCTTTGATGGAAATCTGTAGGCAACTAGGGGAGACTTGTGCCCAAATTTCCTCAAGTGGGAGTGAGCTTCCATAAAACTAGTCCAGGCATGTCTAAACAATTTATAGCATTTGCTTTTCCGTTTATTTTGCTGATTTCCTTTATCCAGATGTTTTGACACCCTCCTTCACCATTTCTCTTCTGAACTGGCAACTTGTTTGTGGCAATTTGGTATTACTGTGTCTCTGTACACATAGTATGTGTAGTCTTTTAATATCATGAATTATAATTAGGTAGTTAACCTTTTTGAAAAAGAGGTCTTTGTCTCTTTAGTTTTCCTTTTAAAAATGCCCATATATCTTATCTTTGCTTTCTGAATGTCTTTCCTTGATTTAATTAAGAGGAATAATATGATTCTGGAGAACCTGACTTTTTAAGTGTTCTAAATCTATATTGCTTTTCTTTTTTTTGGTAATCCTTACTCGGGGATATTTTTCCATTGATTATTTTTAGCGAGAATGGGAGGGAGGGGGAGAGACTGAGAGAAACACCGATGTGAGAAAGACATCGATTGCCTCCTGCAGGCACCCAGGCGGGGGCTGGGGATTGAGCTTGCAGCCAAGGTACATGCCCTTGACCAGAATCGAACCCGGGACCCTTCAGTCTGTGGGCTGACACTGTATCCACTGAACAAAACCAGCCAGGGCTGTATTGCCTTTCTTTATGTTCCCAGAGATATGGACAGCATATTTCTGCTTAAGAATAAAATAACATTATTGTTTTTTTAAATGTTATGATTAATGAGAAATATTGTTAAATACTATGACTAATAATTTATGTACTTCGCTCCTAAGTACATTCTTTCCCCATTGCATTGATATTCTTTGCTGCTCCAAGACCCTGACTTTAGTAAAAGGTTGTTACTTGATTGCAGTTTCCACATGTGCATACTTATTAAATATGCTAATGGAGACTTTTTAACTTTTCGAAACTTAGTTAATTTTCGTAGATCTGTCATTGTCATAAAATGTACACATTTCTGTTGCAGCTGGCAAATTTCAGCAGTTTAAATTAGCCATATTCTATTGACCAAGAAAGGAGATTTTTAATAATATTGAGAGAGTGGAAGGAATAGTGAATTTTGAAATAGAGATTTTTAATTTGGGTTAGAATCATGGAAACTCAAAGTGTATACTGTAGTTTATTTTGAGATACTCAGGATTAGAAGGTGCCATCTGGGTAGGAGGCAAGAGAAATCATGGATAAAATGGAAGAGGGATTGGAACATATTGAGCCTTTACTGAGGGAAACAGAATAGAGACTATCAGTCATTTAATAAGAAGGGGAAAAGAAAAGGGAAAGACTGGGGAACTGGAATTATACTGGGGCTGTGGTAGTGTGATCCATTACTTCATTGCACCTTTACTTGATGCATTATTTTGTGCAGGTAATTTACCTATAGAGGGAGAGAAAATATTCTCAGAGGGGACTCATGAATGTAGTCTAAGGCTATATGAAGTGAGGTCCTAAATTCAAGGGCCTACAGAAGCAGGCAAGTAACATGAGTACAGGCAGCAGGCTGAGTGGGGGCTGAGGTGGCCTGGAGAAGGCAGGCGTGGCTGCCAGGGACACTGCACTTTCAGCACTAAGTAGCTGTTGTTGCCCAGGTAGGACCATGTGCCAAGTGTTGCCAAATTGTCCTTTTATCAAGAGACAGTGTGGCTCACAGTTGATTGGAGCGTCATCTTGTGCACCGTAGGGTGGCGGGTTGGATTCCCAGTCAGGGCACACACCCAGGTTGTGGGTTTAATCCTCATTGGGGGCCGTTTGGTGGCAATCCACCGATGTTCCTCTCTCACATCAATGTTTCTCTCTCCCTCTCCATTCCTCTCTCAAAAAAAAAAAAAAAGAAAAATAAGAGAGAGAAGCCATGAGTATCTTGATTTGTTGATGACTAATTCAATTTAAAAAATGAAAGCAAAACAAAACAGTGTATATTCCAAGCAGAGCATATCTGTGGCTGCATGCCCTACAGGCTGTCTGCAACCTCTGCTGCGAGAAATCATTGGCTCAACTCTTCAAGTATTAGTAGTTGATCAGAAGGTACACTTTTCCCCCCAGAAGGTACACTTTTATTTATTTTTGTCACATGGTAACTCCGAGTTATTCCTAGAGTTCCTTGATATTTTAGCTAGTTCTAGAGATGTGTTAAGGACTCTTTATTTCATAATTTTTTTTATATGTAATTTGGATGAAAGACTAGTTTGGATGGAAAGTAGACATTTGCTCAGGTTCTTAGCTGGTGGAATTTTGTCTATGCATGATTATCAAGAGTGTTTAAGTGTAAGTGTGCCTGAGGGAAGGGGTCTGGACTAGGTGACCTTTGATGTCCATATCAGCCATGTGATTTTTAGATTTAATTAGTCATGGATGCAGTGCTATTAATGTTCAGGGGCTAGAGGGACCGCAGTTGGAGCTGTGCCAAGCAAAGCCAAGCCAAATCTATAAACCTGTTTTCAGTGGAAGAGCATTGCGTCAGTGGGGATTAACAGAAGGGAAGTCTGCTAGATGAGGCCAAGTCCCCGAGAAGGGTTAGAGAAGTAGAGGAAGGGGTCAGGTGGTGTGGTCATTTATGTGTCATAGTGCTGATGTCACGTTTCTAAGTGAGTATGCTTTTGCTTTTGCTTCAGGTTTGAAGACGTAACTTCTCCGCGCGCATTGGATGATGCCCAAGGCTTTTCTACCCAATGATCCTCCTGCAACACGCCGGGCTGCCTCTGCCTAAGCGGCCCTCCTCCTCTCCTCCTATGTCAGTGGCCGCCAGGTCTACAGGGACCTTGCAGCATCCACCGCAGAGGCCTTTTGTGCAGGAGGCTTCCCTACCGCTGGCAGGGGAAGAAGAGTTACCAAAGGCAGGGGAGCAAGACCCTACCCTGGAGGATCTGTGTAAGCCCCTTTACTGCAAACTCTGCAATGTCACCTTGAACTCAGCGCAGCAAGCCCAGGCTCATTATCAGGTAAGGGAAGAAAAGAAAATCTGGCATTCAGTGGGCGAGCATTTGAGGGCTGTGCCCACTTCAGAGTTAATCAAGGTGGCGTAGTGGACAACTAAGTATTAGCTTGTTTGACTAAAAGTATAATGTTCCTACTTTGAAAGAAAGCATAGTTTTCTCATAAAATGGGGCCTTAGCCTCCTGTACGTAGCGGTGTGGTGTTTGATAACTTACCTGTTGTAAGCAAATGTGCACCATGCCGTCTCTGTTGGTGAACAAACCTGTGATCCCAGGGAGAACAAGTATTTGTTACCAGTGGTCGGCAAACTGCGGCTCGGCAAACCGCGGCTCGCGAGGCACGTGCGGCTCTTTGGCCCCTTGAGTGGGGCTCTTCCACAAAATACCGGCTCTTCCACAAAATATCGACTTCTGCGCATGGGCCACGAAGTTTCAATTGCACTGTACGTGCACGCCCTCACGTATTTTGTGGAAGAGCCACACTCAAGGGGCCAAAGAGCCGCATGTGGCTCGAGAGCCGCGGTTTGCCGACCACGGTGTTACATGATGTACCAAACTCAATTTGGTGTCAAAATTGCTTGGAAGAATTCGTCTTATAAATACTCCCTTCCAGCTAGTACAATTTGCATTGGTTCAAGCTTATCTCTATGAATCGTATGCTTTTCCTTTTTAACCCCTGACTCTTCTTATAAATCCTATCCCTGCTGAGGACAACACAGGTATCGTCTGTAGTGAGGATAAAATGACGTTTGAGTATCGAGCCTCACCCTTCATTTATAAGAAGCATACTCTGATTTCCTTTAGCCTATCAGTGTGAACTGATAATCATTTCTAAGACTTAAAGCTTTCACCTCCGTGTAGCATAGCTAGTGGAAAAGACGGTTTTAAAGGACAAATAAAAAATTAAATTTAGGCTAGAAAGACAGGTTACAATATCTCTTTCTATTCTAGATTGTTACCTGTTTAAAATAATACAATTTCCTTTTTTGGAGAAAAGAGACCTGAGGCAATTGAGGCCAAATGCCACTGAATGGAAAGATGTCTTCTGGATCATCACTGGTTTGACTATTTGTTCTCTCCATGAATATTTGCAGTAATAAGTCCATCTGGTAGAAAGATGACTTACACAGGCATTTGTTTTCTATCGTGCCACTATAACTTTTTCCAACTTCAAGTTTTTTTACTCTGTGTGTAAGCCTTCGTTTTGTTTTGATCCTAAAGACTGATGATTGTGTCACCTTGTGACTGCATCACTATTTTGATGGTGTGTTGTTTTCTCTGGCATAATCTGTTGCTTCCCTGGAGTTCTTTTTGTTTGGGTTTGTTTTTCCCTCAGGTGCAGAGTGTTGAGTTAATTAGATTTCTCAGATCTTGGCACATGTCATCATTGGCTCATAAAAGCATCTTCTGGTTTTATTATTATAATAGAGGCCCAGTGCGCAACATTCGTGCACTGGGATGGGGGAGGTCCCTCAGCCCTGCCTGCGCCCTCTCGCAGTCTGGGACCCCTCTGGGGATGTCTGCCAAGGGGTCCTTAGCGTTCCCGTGGAGGCGGGAGAGGCTCCCGCCACCGCCGCTGCACTCACCAGCTGTGATCCCGGCTTCTAGCGCACTGACCACTAGGGGGCAGCTCCTGTGTTGAGCATCTGCCTCCTGGTGGTCAGTGTCTGTCATAGCGACCGGTTGTTCCACCGTTAGGTCGATTTGCATATTAGGGTTTTATTATATAGGATTTTTTCCCCTTGCCCCAATCCCCACTCTCATTCCCTCTGTGTACCAATTCCCACCACCTTGATTTGATACAGGGTCTTTCCTTTGCCTGTTTTATCATTCAAGTGGAGTCTGTTAGGATGATCCATCTAAAACCTAAAATTCAGTGTTAGTTTTCCTCTTCATTCATTCTGGGGGAATGTTCAGTTTTATAGCCTAAGACTTACTTTGAAAAATTAAACCTGGGTTTTAAACTTTTAAATTTTAGCTATAAAAGTCCTTACTAAATCATTAACTTGGAAGCAAAACCCAAGTCTTTAAAGAAGACTTGTTCACTTTTATGAGGGAAAACTCTTAGACAGTGTGTAATTTAACCTGTGTGCATGGATTATATCTATACCTCCTGCCTTTCCCCCCCTCCTAATATCATTTTGTATCTCTATAGACAGTAATGGATGCTTCTGGTTATGCACAGAGAGAGTTCAGTTTGAGCAGGGTCATTGAATTACAAGGTTTAAAGTTGATAAACAGAATCAGCATTTAATCAGTTTTTTAGTGTGCTCTGAACTTTTTTAGTTGACAACATTAGTGATTATATGTAATTGCAGCTCTGTCAGTCATACAGTGAATACATAAATTAGAAAATATAAGAAAAAGGAAGTATAATTTTGGTAAATTTCTCAATAATCAGAATTATTAAGTAGAAAAGTTGGAAGAGAAAGGACAGACTATCACAGGGGACAATTTAAGCAGCCAAGAACTAGAGTTCACATAGAGTAAAGAAGTAGCAAGTGGGTCTTAAGAAAGTAGAATCTAATAGAAAATGAAAAGTTTGGGTGTAATACTAACATGTTTCTAAGAGCGTAGAAGCAAAGATTTGAAAGAAACCAATGTTATTGGTATTTCTTAAAGAGGGAAATATTTTTTAGAGAGACAAGGCAAGCAGTTAATATATAAAAGTACAGAGCAATTTCATTAGGAGAGCAGAGAAGAAAGCTAATCTTAGAAGTGAGATCTGGATTTCAACAAGACAGAAATGCTCAAGACGAGAGAATGTGGATCAAAGAGAATCAGAATAATAAACAGAGCATGGGTGAATCAACATAGAAGGAAAGCATAGAAATGTTAGCTGGAAAGATGCGTCAAAGGCTACACAAAGGGTATGACAAACTGGCAGTGATTCTTAAAGGTCCCGTTTAACATTTCTTGTAATACTGGTTTGGTGGTGATGAACTCCTTCAGCTTTTTCTTGTCTGGGAAGCTGTTTATCTGTGCTTTGATTCTAAATGATAGTTTTGGTGGGAAGAGTAATTTTGGTTGTAGGTCCTTGCTTTTCATCACTTTGAATATTTTGTGCCAATCCCTTCTGTCCTGTAAAGTTGCTGCTGAGAAATCAGTTGACAGTCTCCTGAGAGCTCCCTTGTAGATAACTGCTTTTCTTTTTTTTTAAATTGCTTAAAGTATTACAAAGAGTATTTTCTTTTTGCTGCCTTTAGGATTCTCTCTCTGTCTTTAAACTTTGACATTTTATTTATAGTGTGTCTTGGTGTGGACCTCTTTGAGTTTCTTGTTTGGGACACTCTGTGCTTCCTGGACTTCTGTGTCTATTTTCTTTACCAAATAAGGGAAGTTTTCTGTCATTATTTTTAAAAATAAGATTTCAATTTCTTGTTGTCTCTATTCTCCTTCTGGTACCCCTTTGATTTGAATGTTGTTACACTTGATGGTGTCCCAGAGGTCACTTAAGGTATCTTCATTTTTTGGATTCTTTTTTCTTTTCTTCTTATTGGATGTTTTCTGCTATCTTGCCTTCCAAATATCTGATTTGATCCTCTGCGCCTTCTAATAGGCTGTTGATTCCATCTAATGTATACTTCATTTCAGTTGTTGTATTCGTCATTTCTGACTAGTTCTTTTAAGAAGCAGAAAAAAAAATATGAATAAGAAAATATCACAAAGAAAAAAGAATTCTCACTAACAAAGGCCCACACATAATAAAAGCACTTGATCAACCAACACTAAAGCTAGTGCAAAGGTTAAAAGGTCAAAAATGTAGGAAGATAATGTGTAATTACAACAGTAAATTAAGGGATACTCAAAACATACTAGTATACACAAAAGAAGTAAAAAATAATGACAAAAACATAAATATGGAATAAGTAAAAATGGTAGTGATTATGGAATGTATTTGAATTTAACAACCATCAACTTAAAATAGACTGCTATAAGCATAGCATGGTACATATGAATCACATGGTGACCACAAAGCAAACATCCACAAGAGATATACAAGGAATCCAAACACAATACTACTGAAAGCCATCAACATACAAAAGAAGAGTGTAAGATAATAAGAGAGGAATAGCGAAGAACCACAGAAACAATTAAAACAGCCTGGCTGGTGTGGCTCAGTGTTGAGCATCGACCTATGAACCAAGAGGTCCCTGATTTGATTCCTGGTCAGGGCACATGCCCGGGTTGCAGGCTTAATCCTCAGTAGGGGTCATATATGAGGCAGCCAATCAATATTTCTCTCTCATCGATGTTTCTATTTCTCTATCCCTCTCCCTTCCTCTCTCTCTAAAATCAATAAAAATGAAAAATAAAAAACAATTAAATGGCAGTAACTACATACCTATCTATAATTTCTTTATATATAAATGGATTAAATGTTCCAGTCAAAAGACAAATGGATAAAGAAGATGTGGTATATGGCATATTAGCCATGAAAAAGAATGAAGTCTTACTATTTGTGACAACATGGACCTAGAAGGTAAAGGTCAGGGGAAATAAAGTCAGATAGAGAAAGACAAGTACTATATGATTTCACTTATATGTGGAATCTAAAACAAACAAACAAAACAAAACAAACTCATAGATACAGAGAACAAGCTTATGGTTGCCAGATGGGTGGGCAGGGTTGGGGAGCTGGTTGATAAAGGTGAAGAGATTAAGAAGTACAAATTGGCAGTTACAAAATAGTCATGGGGATGTTAAGTACAGCATAGAGAACATAATAATATTGTAATAATTATACATGGTGTCAGGTGAGTATAAGACTTATCTGGGGGAACACTTTGTAAGGTATATAAATGTCTAACCACTGTGTTATACACCTGAAACTAATATTATAAAATGTCAACTGTAATTTAAAAATAAGAAAATCAACTGAAAAAATAAACAGGAAGTGATTAAAAAAGACTACTAAAGGCAAGAGTAAGACCAATGAGTAAGGCTTACCAGAACCTGGAATAGGCAGAATGGCAATGGTTGTAGACTAATAGAATAAGGTGGGT